CCCCCTTTCCCCTCACGGAGGCCACGCCCCCTTTCCCCTCACGGAGGCCACGCCCCCTTTCCCCTCACGGAGGCCACGCCCCCTTTCCCCTCACGGAGGCCACGCCCCCTTTCCCCTCACGGAGGCCACGCCCTCTTTCCCCTCACGGAGACCACGCCCCCTTTCCCCTTCAGAACCGCCCCTTTTTATTCAAATCACGCCTCGTTTTTAATTAGCACGCTCTATTAATTAGCCACGCCCTCTGAAATGATGGCCACACCCCATTTTGACCCCGTTTTTTGGTGGCCACGCCCCGTTTTTAGTGGCCACGCCTTTCAAAAGTCACCGGCCACGCCCTGAAACTCAACGGCACCCCCCTTAAAATTCCCATTTTTCAGTGGCCAAACTCCATTTTTCAGTAGCCAAAGCCCAGTTTTTAGTGGCCACGCCTCATTTTTGGTAGCCAAACCCAATTTTCAGTTGCCAAATCCCATTTTTGGATGCCCACATCCCAGTTTTTGATGGCCGAGTCCCATTTTTGGTGGCCAATCCCCTTTTTGACTCGATTTTTCAGTAGCCAACTGCTGCAATCCTCAACCCCCACTTTCAGTGGCCAAACCCCATTTTTTGGATGCCCACATTCCATTTTTTGATGGCCAAGTCCCATTTTCAGTGGCCAAACCCCATTTTTCAGTAGCCAAACCCCATTTTGACCCCATTTTTGGTGACCAATCCCCATTTCTCAGCAGCCAAACCCCATTTTTCAGCAGCCAAACCCCATTTCTCACCAGCCAAACCCCATTTCTCACCAGCCAAACCCCATTTTTCAGCAGCCAAACCCCATTTTTTGGTGCCCACATCCTATTTTTGGTGGCCAAACCCCATTTCTCACCAGCCAAACCCCATTTCTCAGTAGCCAAACCCCATTTTTGGATGCTCACATCCCATTTTTGGTGGCCAAACCCCATTTCTCATCAGCCAAACCCCATTTTCAGTAGCCAATCCCCATTTTTGGATGCTCACATCCCATTTCTCAGTAGCCAAACCCCATTTTCAGTAGCCAATCCCCATTTCTCAGTAGCCAAACCCCATTTTCAGCAGCCAAACCCCATTTTCCGTAGCCAAACCCCATTTTTGGATGCCCACATCCCATTTTCAGTAGCCAAACCCCATTTTCAGTAGCCAAACCCCATTTCTCAGCAGCCAAACCCCATTTTTGGATGCCCACATCCCATTTTTGGTGGCCAAACCCCATTTCTCACCAGCCAAACCCCATTTTCCGTAGCCAAACCCCATTTTTGGATGCCCACATCCCATTTTTGGTGGCCAAACCCCATTTCTCACCAGCCAAACCCCATTTTC